GCCCCTGAGGTGAGTTGTGAGAGTGGAAAGTTAATGGAAGGGGAGAGGGCAAAATAACGTGAGTGTCTCACTGCCTTTTCCAAGAGCTCTACAATTACAAAGCAATTGTGAGTGTATGTGTGAATGGTTTTCCTGATCAGTTTCATTCCCTCTGCCTTATAAATGAGAATCTTAAGACAGCGAGATGTTATATGCCTTGCTGGCAGCCAGGATTAGAAGTTGAGATTTTTTTGAATAAGTGCTTTGAACAGATGAGGTTGCTTCTGAGAGTTCGCAGTTAACACTGCACTTCCTAGCAATAAAGATGAGCTTTTCTCGTCTCTAAAAAACCTGCCATTATCCACACTTAAGCCAAGAACAACTATGGAAGGAAGCTAACTGAAAGCACAGGTTAGTGACCTGAACTCTCTGCCTGATGATTAGCAGAATTATAGCTAATAGGAATGAAACCCTTAAAGGGGTAGGGACACTAATTTAGACACTCTGGGTAGAAGAAAATGAAAAAAAGTTTGAAACAAAGAAAGAAAACCACTCAGGACATAACCCAGCAAGATAGAAAAATGAAATAAAGATGCCTCATCAGCTCTAATTAAAGGAAATCAATATTTGAAGAGCTGTCTTGATCTGTAACAGAACAAGGGGCAAAAATACTTCGGAAATGTGAGCCTCTTAGAAAATAGAAAAGCAGGCTTTCATGGGGAAGCAATCATGATGGGGAAGCAATCATGATTTCAAAGCCTTTGAAAAGATGACCACTTGGTGGGTATGTTGTAGATAGGACTCAAGCACCTGTTGGGGAAGCAGATCGATGAGCTTCTATCCCTGGTACAATCTATAAGCTTTAAGTGCATTTCCTCATCCTATGAGCTTTCAGGAGCCCAGGGTCATCTCTAGGGAGCAAATAGTACCTACCGCTTCCCAAAACAGACTTGAAATAACCCCTTAACAATAGCTTGGGTTTTATCTCAGTTACCACTTACAGGAACACACACTGGAAAATGGTCAGAGCTATACAAATGCAGTAGGGTTCTCCTTATTCACTCAACCACCCAAGCAAGCTTGCTGGAGAATCCTTTCCAAGCTCATGTGTCCTTGTGATCCATGTGATGATCAACCATCAGTCCAATTCTAACTAGACCAGAATCCAACTAGAATACAGTTCTCTCAGACCATTCTTCTTTAGGAATGGAAATGGAAAACATGTGACATATGTCATCACTTCCTCTCTCACACACCAGTGCCAGACATTGATAATCGATCACGGCACTCCTTTCTCCTGAGCCCAAAGGCAACTACTTTTCATTTGTTTGTTCAACAGATGCTTTCTGAGTGCCCTCTTAAGAGGTAGTTGGAGAGACAGATACACAATAAAATATAAGCAACACTACAAGCACCATATGCTATGTGCCAAACAAGAGACATGTAGCCTGACTGTCCTGAAATACAATTTCAATTTCCTAAGACCCTAAAAAACTAATTTTTTTGAATTTCAGTGCTGTTGTAGTTAGAGCAGCACAATTATTTTTCATGTGTCCAAGATGAATTAATTTCAAAAAGAGCCTACAAAGTACTATAGGAAATGCAGAAGTTTTTGCATGCCACCCATCAAGAAAGTGAGTTGAGTGTGTTTGAAACTTCTAGGTTCTTCTCCCTCAAGCACCTCTCTGATCTAAGAGAAAAATCCAGATTGGAGTGGATCTGATTGCCATTTTGGGTTAAGTACACTGGATGCCATTTCGGCATCAAATTATTCAATCAGAAACACTTTGAAAATGCTGGAGAGTTGGGTTAGTCAGAGTTTTCCCACCTGAATACAATGTGCATAATACTGCAGATTTTTTTTTTCACTTTTCTGGTGTTGGAGACATTTGTGGAGCCTGTGGAAAATGGCTTATGTGATAGATGGAGACCATCAGCCGGCCAGGCAGACAGAAGGAGTGCTGGCTCTCATTAACTTTTCCTCTCAGGAGCTCACCTGGAATAGTTTTCATAGGCCTTTGATGAAGCTGGGTGTGAGGGAGGGAAGAAAGACTCTTCTCAAAAAAGGATAGCTACTCAGGAGCAGTGGAGGAAGCCTGGGCTCATACTCTCAGGGATTTCAGGCCACAACCTTTAGGATTGCAACGCAAAGAGGAGAGTGAAGTAAAGAGGTCTGACAGGTGGTTTAGAGACAAAATAATGACAACAGGAGTAGGTCTGTTTCAGATCTGCGGGTTGGAAACTAGCCCTGATTCATACAACCCTCCCCCATCTCATATGCCACAAATTATCATCTGTACATCCTAAAAGCAGAGTGGGCTTATTGCTTTAAGTCCCTGAGATTGGTGGATGTTCCAGTGGCCAGCGTTCCTGGCTTAATCTTTGGGTCCTTGACCTGTGTTTTTCCAGATCTCCGAGGCTCCCAGATAGTCTGCAGCTGCAGGATTTTCTCTTTTTTTCTCATGGGGCCCTTCTGGAAAACTCCGGGCCCTTCAGCCTCAAGGTTTCAGAATTACAGCATCTTGTCCAGACTTAGGTACTGAGCCTGGAATTTGGGGGTAGACCGATGACTCTTTTCCATCAATGTCCACCAAGCCTTTCTATACAACAGTCCTTAGTATATCTACAAAATAAACTCCTGGGACCCAAGCCTGCCACAAAGTCTGCTTGGTCCCTACTCCACTTTCAGACACACTTTACCACTGTGAATGGATCTTCTATTTGCCTGGAACACACATTTTGAGTTATTTGGTTACTTTTACTCCCCAGTCTTCATGCCATACCTTCCATGTGTGATTTTTCTCTGAGTAAGTCTTTGTTTTTATTCCCTTTGGATCTGCACTTACAGGATCTGGCGGTAGGTCAGACAGGTCCTTGTTCCTATCTCTTAAAGGGGTACTGCTCCAAGACCACTCCGATCTAGAGTGGCACTTAACAATAAGAAGGCTGCCAGTCCCTGCTGCCAGCTTTCCCTGAGGTCCTGCCGTGCCCTGCATTGAGCTTAATAGACAGGGTCACTTGTCATGGGGGTTATAAAGGAGTTTCATGCCCAAGCCACAAGCATGGGAATTTAGCAGTGAGAATGGGTACTCTTGTACTGAAAAGATCTCGGATGCCTGAACTTGATGACTGGGAGTGTTAAATGACCACCTAGTCTGAGACCCGAAGCTTGCAAGATCAAAAGATCCCTTATTTCAGAATGCTGCCAGTGAGGTTTCCCGCTGGCTCCTGTTTGAGTGAGGGGCAAGGAGGAGGAAGGCTCGGTGGCCAGTGACTAGGATGTGGAAGTGAGTAAAACTGAGCCCTGCTTGAATTTCGCCACACGTAGCACATTACGTCCTTTGCATCAGACTGCACCAACCTGCTGGAAGAGACAGTTTTGAATTCTTCTGAATTTGCCCTATTGTTTGGTATTATCTCGTAGTTTCTGAGCTTGCCTCTGGATGAGGAAGGTAGCTAGTATGGTCCCAGGTACAGCTTAGGAGTTCTTTGCTAGGAAGTCATTATACATAGTCAAGAGCATAATGGAGTCTGCAGGCGCCACTCGGAATGTAGCCACATTCCGGTGAGCAGCACAAGGAAACGGTCCCTGCAACTGTGCAGGGGTGCCAGCACTTTGCCTTGGCAGGATTCTGATGCCTCTTCCCAGGGTAGACTGTGTGTTCACTCTCTCTAGAATGTCTGTCCCCTCCAGCAGAAGGATCAGAGTTCACCTTGATGTTTCACATTCCAAAGAACTGCTTTTTAGACCTACTGGACACTGAATCCTACCTGTTGGGGCTTTTGCGGTCTGATCAGCCCTTGTATGTGCCCACATACCTCTGTGTTGCCTCTGCAGTCACCCGGAACCTATGATTAACTCTTGTTCCAGTCACATCCATTTAGCCATTTAAATCTGATGAGTGTAGGGCAGAATATCTTTTCTGACCCCTACCTTACCCCACATATAAATACTGGTAGGTACCTACTTCTGAGCCCTTAAAAGATTCAGAAGCATCTGGAAAGCTCTTTGACATTCTCTGAAACAATATTCTGTGCCTTCGGAAGGCTCTATTATCCTCCCTGAAAGCCAAGATATGCATTTTTCTTTTTTACCTTCACTTTTCATAAAAGGTTATGCTGACGTAGATCTGACTAACAAAAAAAATCTTTCTGATGAAATCGGGGTAAATAATTCCACACATCATCAAGTGGAAAGAAAGGGCTTTGAATTGGTTTCCATGGAAATCTGAAGACGAAGTAAAGTAATAATTTCAAGGCAGAGCAGCTGAATTGAAGATAATGGTAAAAATAGTTTGATAAAGAAAATAGAATAAAGTAATCAAGAAGACTCCAATCAATTATTCCTTTTTGTTTACCTTCAAGTGATTAATTTGTCTGCGTTTATTAACCTGATGAGATTAAGCAGACCTTCCTAGTGATTTATTTTGTAATTGTTTCCAAGGTTTGACATAAGCTGTGGAGTTATTGAAGGTGGAGATTTAAATTCAATTACTCATGAAGCAGGTGGTACTTCTCCTGAAAGAATATCTGAATTCACGGCCTTCCCATGTTAACATTATGAGTGAAAATTATTAATTCATCTGATAGTATCTCCCAAAGACTTTTAGAAGTCATTTGGCATCCACATACTTCACTAAAAGTCAGCAGCTTCAGAACTGAACTTGCAATACAGACGCTCCAGAGACCGGAAATAAAGGATTTTATGTTAAAGGCTAGTTATTTTTCCACCTTTTTTTACTGGAGCCTCCTTTCGGGGCCTGGGCTATGGTGCTATCACTAATGGAATCCACCAGCTCAAGTTTTGAATGCCAAAAGGATAGCTTTCTTTGAACGTGACCAGTGGGTCCCACTCTCTTTACCTTTGAAGGGCACCACTGGATAAGATCACGCTTTATTTTGACATGAGAGAGAGAAAGAGAGAGAGAGAGCACTTAAAAGTGTTTAAATGAAATGACTAATTGCTTTTTGCCTCTGTGGTCACTGTTATATATGTTTTTCTATTCTTTCTGTGGGTATAGTAAGGATAGACGGGGTTCTCCAAACACTAATCCAGGTGCCAACTCTCCATCATCCACAAAGGCTCGGAACGCATCTAAGAGTGGGAAGTAAGTGAAAAGTTTCCCTGTGCATCTGACAAAACTCTCACAAAGCCTTGTGCTGTCTTCATTTTGTCGTTCATTCATATTCATTCAGCAAAGGTTTGTGGAATGCCTTCTGTGTGCCTCGCACTGGGGAATTTAAATGAGTAAAGAATGTGTCAAGAGTATTGGGTATATGGAGGACTGTGAAGAAGCGGGAGGAGAGGGTGGGGAAAGTCAGGCTGAATGTGAAGGCCAAGGACTTCAAGCAATGCAAGATTTGGACTATGTGTTTCATCACTTAAAGAATGAAGTAGCAGCAGCCCGGATTAATCATTTTATGAGTTGCAAAATCCATGAAAATCTGTCTCTGATCCATACATTAAGGTTTAGGGTTGAGGTAGAAAAATCTGGAAAGCCATTCCATGAATGTCCTGGTTTAAATACATTTACATTGTAACCATATCACTGATTTTTATGGTGTATATATTCTGTTCCTAGTAACCAGCGTGTACCATGTCCTACATGAAACTGTCTTTGTGGCATTGCCAAAACTTGTATTGGCTGAATATTTGTGATATAAGATTTACCTCTTTGGGTTAATTCCAGAAAACAACGCTGGCTGATGCAGCCAATTGGATTCAGCAGAGCATGGCAGTCTGAAACAAATGTGATCCCATGTAGATGACATACTTCCAATTAGGGGCTTCCCTTTCGAAGTGGCTGCAGCCCTTTGGTGAATGACTTGGGTTCTCTGTAGGCTACGTCTCTCAGTGGTATAGGGCATTGTGACAGGCAGAAATACAGCCCAGAAGGAGTACTCAGCCTGCATCTAGGAGAAGATGAAAGATGCCTTCATCATGCTAAAAGCTCTAATCTAGCAATAAGATACGTCAGTGCAGGAGTATGGCTTTGCAATGAAAGGTGAATTTGTAATGGTCGTATATTTTATGTATTCAGTGTTGGACCATAAATGCTGCATTTGAATATGATCTTATATTCAATTCCCAAAGTGAAAGATCTACTGGCTACCTTTTTTTCCCCTTTCTTCTCCTCCTGAATACCATTTTAGGTTTGCATATAAAGTTGAATGTGGGCTATCTTGGAGAATATAAAAAGCGGTGGCGAAGGCTAAATCTCAGAGCACTTATAACTCGTTTCAGTTATTTATCGCCCAGCACCACAATCAAAATGCTGTATAAATTATGAAGGAAGGGAATTGATGCACACAGTCCCAAGCAGATGAATGTTTCCAAATTAGTCCCAATTCATCGTCAGCGTGCACTCTCAGTGAACAGATATGGCATTGGAGAATCGCTTCTAGTGCCATGCTTACAGAAATGGCGGGCCACGTCTGTGCACCTTGTACACACTGACAATTGCAGGGCACAGTCTCCATTTATTAGACCCTGATGTATCGCAATGGATGCTTGTTACTGCTGTTGCACTTTGAAAGGGGCATCGTTTTGTTTCTTTTGGCTTTGCAGGAACCTAGTCTCTTACATTTTGAGTGAAGATTCCCAGTGTGAGCCACAAAAGGAGCATTCATTGGTCGAACTGAGTTAAGATGACATAGAGAATGCATACCTAATACCATACCCAGCTTGTGAACCATAGGAGGCTGGCATAAATACATTCTTAAGTAGATAAGTGTGATCTTATATCACATTTTCTGTATTTGGACATATCCCAAGCTTCGACCACGATGAGGGTCTCCCTCTTTGCACATTTTGAGCTAGGTGTCTTTTGTTTGCTGTGCACATGACTCACAGATTGAGATAGTTCTTTTTAATTCTTCATTATTTTTGTTGATTATTTATGAAAACCACAGCGCTCTCCGGTATCCTCTTCGTGGATATGTGTGCCATGTCCCTTTCTCTTATTTATACCCCATAAGCTTTCAGGAGGTTTTTAAATTTTTTCCTCTGCACATCTCCTCAGGATATTTTTTGCTAACATGAGCAGTCTCAATACGGTGAGACTATCAGGGGGCACTTTTCATACTTTCTACAACAGTGTCTATCATTGTCAGGCACATGTGTTGTAGTTCAGAGAGGCTAACTTCCTATGCGTTTCCTTGGTCTGGGAGTGTGTGGTGGTGTGTGGTGTGGGTAGGTAGATTTTTGCACCCTGGGGCTTTTCCGTGGTGCACTGTCACAACACCCGGCATCCATGGTGCCGTTCTGCTGACTTTCTCATGTTACTTGCCCTAATGAGAGTGTACTATGGAGCAGTGTTTAAGTGTCTATGTTATTTTGAGGCCGAAATCAGGCTGGAAAACAGAAGGAATATGTTTCTCTTCTCTGAAAAGAATTTAGGCCTACTGTTTTTTGAAGAAACGAAATTCATGGCTACAAAAACTAATAGCTAATATGTGTCAAGTGAGTGCTCTGAGCCAACCTCCGTACCAAGCATTTGACAATTTTGTCTCATTAATCCTTACCCACCAAAAGCTTATGAAATAGGCACTATTATTATTATTATTTCTATTTTACACATGTGGAAATTGGAGAGGATATGATGTGCCTCCATAGGGTCTCCAAATGGACAATTTTGGCAAAACCCTACTTGAGGATAATAATAGAAATACATAGAGCATTTACTTTGTGCCATTTTGCTAAACTCTGGGGCCTCATGGACAAATACAAGACACAATATGTGCTTTCAAGGAGCTCACAGCCTCCTTGTAGAGAGAGGAAAGGAGACAGGATGACAAGACAGTATTTACAGCAAAGCAGTCACAAGGTGCTGTTGGAGCACAAATAGTCACCCCCAAGCAGTGCCAGGGTTGAAGTGGGGAAGACATCATGTGACGATATCAATGAAAGCTTCTAAGAAATGACCCCTGAACCTTTTGGTTTTCTCCACTTACTCCTCATGTAGCAAGGCTAGGTCAGAAGAGGAAAAGGCAAAGTTGTCACTAAGGTGGACAGAATCCACCTACGTTGATAAGAACAAGTTGGAGCTGTGAATTAGGTCAGAGCTAAAAAAACCAAATGGCTAATTCTGTCCTTTTGGGGAGACTTTGGTCCATTTGGGGCCGATTCAGATGCAGTGCAGCATGCAAAGTAGCTTAAGAAACCTACAGCTTCAAAGTTTTGTCGGTTCTGCTTGCTCTGTTTCATTCCCTGGATCTGAAGCTGGGTAGCCAGCCCTCTGTTTCAGAAAGAACAGATGGCATGGGATATATCCGAGCAGCAGAGCCAGACTACCCTGGCAATGACTTTTGGGGGAGATGCATGCAGTTTCGTCTATGCCAATGGTGAGCCAAGTTGACAAGGCCAAAAAAATATATATATACATATATATATATATATATATATATATGTATATATATATATATAGTACAGAGCCGTACCTGATATCAGGAAGCATAAATTTTGTAGATGTTGACCCATGATTAGACAGGCTACATTTAAGCTCACTTTTGGTTCCTTTTGGTAATGTGAATCTGTTTTTCTATTGAATACCTCACACCAGGATTAACCCATTTGTTGAATTGGGTTGTTCCTAGCAAGTACCTGCACTGTCAAGGCTGAGCATATACAGGGCAGCGACAAAGAGCCATTATAAATTTTCATTTTGTATCAGAACATGTTTTACAGGAGACCAACTCTTTTGCTGACCAGATAAGGACACGGAGACTCAAGAAGTGTCAGTCACTTTGCCAGAGACATGAATCTAGTTAGTAGTGGAGGTCAGCCTAGAATCCTGGTCTTTTAATATTTGTCCCATGCTCTTTGTACTACAAAGTAGGCTACACTTCTTCTCCCAGATAGCAAGGGACTTCAGCTAATCACACCAAAGGAGGCTTGGAGCGTGGTCTCAGGGTGTCCAGCTGAGTTCTCGGCCTTCCATGTACCATGATAGCTGTGTAAGTGGGTTCTGCCAGCCACTGTGAACATGGAGACTTTGGGGAAAAATTAGAATTATTACACTTTTTAAAAAATGTAGCAGGACTGAAGATAAAAAGAAATAGCATGCACTTTCCAAACACTTTCCATTTTCTCTAAACTAACATCATTCTGGTTGTGTTTGGACAATCACCCATTCTCAACATTATTGTTGAATGATCTCAAACCTTTGACACCACTTCATCAAGGAAACAATAAAATGAACTTGTAGATCACTACAGCTATTCTCCCTCAAATCAGCCAACCAAGGTTGAGGGTGTGTGTGTGTGTGACATTCAGAGGCATCAATTTAAAAATTAGATCACAGGCAGTTGTAGACAATGATAGAAGTTAATCACCCTCTTAGCCTGAAATGTTTTCCACATAGGCTCAAGCTATGGAATGACAAGGACCAAGTTCAATTTTCAAATACTAGTGACGGGCATGAATATTACAGGACCAGGGCAAAGAACTCAAGCACAGCGCCTGGTAAATGATACCATAAATGTTGAATTAAGTACCGTAAATGTTAGCTTAAATGAGTTAAGCCAAGGGGGTACCTGGGTCACTGAGTTGGCTAAGCGTCCGCCTCTCTGTTTTGGCTCAGGTGGTGACTTCACAGTCTGTGAGTTCAAGCCCCACGTTGGGCTCCGTGATCAGACTCCATCCTAACAGCACAGAGCCTGCTTGGGATTCTCTTTCTTCCTCTTTCTGCCCCTCCCCCACTTGCACTGTCTCTGTCTCTCTCAAAATAAATAAATAAACTTCAAAAAAAGTAATTAAGCCAAGGATGAAGGGATGTTAAAATGGAGAAAAAGGAGTACAAAAGGGAATATGAGGACCAAGTCAACCTTGCTCACTTTACAAAATCTGCCTGGAGTCGACCCTAGTAGCAGATGCCGCAGGAAGACTGACTCCAACCTGTCTTTGCCAAAACTGTCCCATAATGAGCAGACCTGTTTATCTATTCAGCAGTCTCTAGATGAGAGCAGTTAGGAGCACATAGCGTCATAAATAAACTAAACACACCAACATTCCTTTGGTTTGGGTTGGCAGGAGCCAAATGAAAAACTTTGCTGTATTAGAAAGAAGAGGTGAAGTCTTGCTTGATCTCTATGGACTCAGCATGGTGCA